GATCACGGATTTTATGCACTGTACTGAATCGGACTTGGATCTTATGTTTGTTTAGAATTTTGGAGATCTTTTTGGTCACGCCTGCTATGTATGGTAACGTGATAGTTTTGGTCGGAGTTTCATGTGGCTGTTTCTGTGTGGTGGGAGAAACAGCTTGGCAGATAGTGCGGTCAGAGTATCCGTTCATCCTGAGGGCCCGATGTACATGTCTTAATTCACCGGGCAGGTGGTGTTGGTCAGAAATGCCATGGGCTCTGTGGTATAGCGTTTTGATGAGAGAATTCTTTTGAGATGGGTGGTGGGGGGAATCCGGTTTCAAGTAGGAATCTGTGTGGGTGGATTTCCTGTAGACAGAATGTCCCAAGGATCCGTCAGGCCTCCTCTCAAACAGAATATCCAAGAATGGTAGTTTACCGTCTTTCTCCACTTCCATGGTGAATCTGATGGATGGGTGTCTAGAATTGATGTGGTCCAAGAAGTGGTTCAATGCTGGGAGGCCATGTGGCCAGATGACGAAAGTGTCATCCACATACCTCTTCCACAGGGAAGGGCGCAGGGTGGATGTCTGGATGGCGTCTGATTCAAACTTTTCCATGAACATGTTGGCTATAACTGGTGACAAGGGGGAGCCCATAGGGGTACCCTCATTCTGTTTGTAGAAGGTGCCATTCCAGGTAAAATAGGTGTTGGTGAGGCAATGCCTAACCAGCGCAGGTACATCCGAATTCAATCCATGTTGGACTAAGTCCTCAATTATTGTTAGGGTGTCCGGTACTGGGACTTTGGTGAACAAAGATACTACATCAAAGCTGACGAGGATGTCATCAGGAGATAGTACCATGTCCTTAACCATAGAGACTAATTGGGTTGAGTTGAGGCAGCCAGGACCATTATTAAAATGCAAATTAAGTTATAACATTTTTGACGTGCGTTTTTCTGGATTTTGTTGTTGTTATTCTGTCTTTCACTGTTCAAATAAACCTACCATTAAAATTATAGACTGATCATTTCTTTGTCAGTGGGCAAACGTACAAAATCATCAGGGGATCAAATACTTTTTTCCCTCACTGTAAACCCAAAACCCTATAAACCCCTAACCCTCTAAACCCCTTTACCATCTAAACTCCTTTACCCTTAAACCCCTTTACCCTGAAAACCCTAACCCTCTAAAACCCTGTACCCCAAATAGCCTAATCCTCTAAACACCTAACCCTCTAAACCCCAACCCTCTAAACCCCTAACTCTCGAATCCCCTCAACCCCTAAACCCTATAACCCTCAAAATCCCTAAACCTCGAAACCCCTTATCCCTGAAATAACCCGAAACCTCTAAACCCTTAACTTTATAAATCCCTAACCCTATAAACCCCTAACCCTTTGTGTGGAATGTGGTGGGGGTGGGATCATGGGGTGGGTGGGTGCAGGGTGTGTGTGGTGTGTGTGGTGTGCGGTGGGTGGTGGGTATCACAGGGGGGTGAATGGGTGCAGGGTGTGTGTGGTGGATATGGTGATAGTGGTTGTGGTTCACAACGATCCGTAACCACCACCACCACCTCTACTGTGTGGTGGACCGGCCACCACACAGCAGCACGCGTCGGAGGAGTGAACGGATGGTTCTCCCTATGCGGGCCAGACTCCCTCGCTTCCTCTTCTCCTCCTGCATCATCATCACCTGATCCTCTTTCCTTGTCATCTCTTTCTCCACCATCTTCTCCACCAATGTCTCCTCCACCTGCACCACCATCTCATCCTCCTGCTCCTTCGTCCATATCTCCTCTGTCTCCCCCCTCATCTCCTCTTCTTCCTGCACCACCAGCTTTTGCACCAGGGTCTCCTCCTCCTGCACCAGCAGCTCCTCCACCAGGGTCTCCTCCTCCTGCACCACCAGCTCCTCCACCAGGGTCTCCTCCTACACCAACAGCTCCTCCACCGGAGTCTCCTCTTCCTCCACAACAACCGTCAGCCATTTAGAGGCCTGGGCAAGCGTGGAGGATGGGGGCAGCGCCGGCTCCGCTCTGTAAAGAGATGCGCACGACACCGTTCCAACTTCCTGCTACAACAGAGATCGCACTCTCCCCCCCCCCCCACCATCGTGCGGAGATAGATTAACCAGGTTAATAACGATGCTGCAGTAACGCAGCATACCTTTGCCCATCGTGGGTCTGGTTACAAAATGGGCATTAGTCTTGCGATATCACACTGGATGAAAGGCTACATGGCAAATATATGGCTGCTTCATTATTTGTCCTCACCCAGAAACCAATTATAAAAATACATCTGTATATAACCGAATGTACACGTGGGGTTTGAACTGTACATGTGTTCGTTGGCAGGCGGCGGGGCTGGAACTCACAGAGGGACCTGGGTTTGAGGCCCAAACTTGGGCCACTTTCTCCGTGTGGAATGTGGAGTGTGTTCTACCCCTCCCCCCCCAGTTTTATCCTGCATTGGTTTCCAAAATCAGAATAAATTATTTAGACTGGATGAAGAGGAATCCGATAAGCTATGAAGCTCTTCTTTCACAGATATGCAGTTGAGGCACAGGGTCAGCAAGTTACAACAACAAACAAAAGAAAATGAGTGCAACGTGTAAAAATGTAAGCAAGTCACAAAATAACTGAGCATATAAGCACAAAGTACGTAAAATCCTGCCAGTTTTTCAACACTAAATACAAATGTAGGGTTTGTTACGGGGAGAAAGGCGGACAAACACAAGGGTGTCTGGACCCACACACGGGTGTCTACATCCACGTCCGCATCGGTTAACCCTGGGGGGGCATGGGGGTGCTGTGATCCCCCATAGTCCCACCCCTCGGAGAGGATTCTTATAAAAGGCGGGGAGCCAGAGGGCTCGAGGCCAGTGTGTGAGAAGCTTACCAGTGAAGACTGACGACCGGCAGAATAGGCCCTGGAACTCCCCTGGCTCGCTGTCCTTGTCAGGGCCGAGCAGGGCAAGTGGCGCGGCCCCAAGAGCTCCAGGAGCGCTGCTCTTGTAAGAGCACGGCCTGGTTAGCTGGGTGCCGGGATCCGTGCTTGACCAGGGCCGGATCAGATAGCCTCCCCTAGCACTCATAGCGGAGGACTGGGAATAGGAGAAGTCAGGGGATAGTGCTAGGGGTGTTTCCCATTGAGTACGGGTGAAGGCGCTGTTGCCCCTTCAAGTATTGTTACCGCCTTTTGGTTAAATAAAAGAGTGTGCCTCAACTACGTCGTCTGTCTCCCTGATAACTCACTACACTTGTGTAGGGGTGTTAAAGAGAGGGCCCGTTATGCATGGCAGCCTATGGAAAACAAACACAGTGGGCGGGGCTACGTAAGTGCACGAGGAGGTGCCCTCTACGACGTCCGAGCCAGACACCCTGGGGGGGGCTGGTTCGAACGTTATGATCCCCCGGGGCCCCACCCCTCAGGGAGGGGTTGGGTATAAAAGGGGATGTTTCAAAGGGCTCGGGAGTTATGTTTTAAGCTAAAGGAAGAAGACTGAAGACGTCTTAGATAGAGCCCTGGACTCCCCTAGTTCGATGTCCTTTTCAGGGCCGGACAGGACTGAGCCAGCGGCGTGGTCCCGAAAGCCAGAGCCGGTGCTCTTGTAAGAGCTGGTCTGGAACTCCGGGTACCGGGCCCGACTTACCAGTGTCGGGCCAAATAGCCTCCCCTAGCCCATTAGTGGAGGACTCGGGGCTAGGACAGAGTTAGCTAGGGGTGTATCCCGAGTTATACGGGTGAGGGGGCTGATACCCCCTCGAGTGTTATATGCCCACTGTCGTATTGTGAAATAAATATACGTGTGCCTCAACCTCGGTGTCAAGCGTCCTCACCGGTACTTCACTTGTATAAGTGTAGTGTATCGTGTCGTGTATAGTGGAGTGTGTAGTGTAGTGTGTAGGTTAAACGTTGAGTTTTATAAGGGCACCACGGGATGACCAGCCCCTCCCCACCCAGCCCCACCCCTCCCACCCCCCACCCAGCCCCACCCTCCCCACCCAGCCCCTCCCCACCATCCCCTCCTCCCCCAGCCCCTCCCCACCCTCCCCTCTCTACCCAGCCCCACCCCTCTCACCCCCACCCTCCCCTCCCCATGCACGACAGACAATCCCTGGTAGGCAGTGTGGAATCTGTTGTTCCTACCGGTATAACAGTGGGAAATATCTGAACCGGTCCTGGGCCTCCCCTTGATCGACTCAACCTCAAATGATTACCTGATGCAGTGGGTACACATCACCACGAGGGAGACAAATGAGTGGTGTTGGCCACCCACTCCCCTGTGTACTGTGCCAGTCCTCATTAGGCGCTCACTAACACCACTTGCCTCAAAAATCTGTTAAAGCTATGAGGGGGATCTTTGTCTTTGTACAGTGGCATTGGCTACGTATAAACTGATACTTTGAATGGAGTTTATAATACAACATGGCCTATGTGTAACGCATCATATACCGTGTACACAGCACCATGAAAGTGTGTGCCGTATAATACAGAGTATGTGTAACGGAGCAAAGCCTGTGCACGCACTGCAGCGTTACTTTTAACTGAAACGTGGCATGGCCGTTATGTGTAGAACAGCATTTCTTGTGTATATGTAGTGGGTTCCCACGGAGACTGGAGACGTAGCTGAGAGGCAACACGGTTTATTTAAATCTTATAACAGAAGCCCCTTTTACTCCCACTACTTGGGGAGGTATGGCCTACGGGCTAACGTGCCCTATCACTGGGGCTACGGGCTTTGAGTCCTCCGACTAAGGGGGGCTTAGGGGAGGCTATGCTGACCCGACCCAGCCAAGGTGCGGGTCTCGACCACTGGTCCGTGCTCGGCCCCGCCCCTTAAAAGGACGTCGGGTCCCGGGGTCCCGGGGTCCCAGGGTCCCGGGGTCCCAGGGTCCTAGCCTAGCTGGTCTTCAGTCTTCGTCTTCAGAGCACTGCCTCGGGCCGTCCTGGGGTCCGTCTTTTATACCCACATCGGGGACTCTCCACCCCCGGTACCGCCCCCTTTCTGGAACCTTCCAGGTGGCTCTGGAATAACCCTTCAACCCCTCACCTGGGGTCGGGGGGGGGGAACTCGGCCTCTCAACGGTCCCGGTTCTCTCTCTAACTCAGGGTGGCACCCCCTGTCGACTCGTGCCCGCAACTACAGGTAAGCATACAGTGTGGTGTGTGCTTTGCATTTCCGACGCTACATATACAGCAAGAAATACTCTACATAGAGACAGCATTGCATCTGTGTGTGTGTACTGCATGACACACGGTGTACGGTGTGTAAGTGCACAGTGATGGGCTGCTGCTTCTACCGCACCTGTTGACGTTGATGTCGGGGCAGGCAGAGTCCTCGCTCCGGGTCCCGGTGGCGTTGCTCCGGGGGAACGTGCAGAAGAAGGCGTTGGCCAGGAGGCAGGCGGCCTGCTCCTGAGACATCGTCAGCATCAAGCCGGTGTCCTGGCGGAGCAGCGGCAGGGGCTGGGGACACGTGCGGTGCACAGGGCGCAGCGACGTTACACGCGGCAACGGGTGGCACGGGGTTGCAGAGAAGCAACGGCGCAATGGTAAACACCGATGCAGAGCACTGAGCCTGCAGCACTGGGATGCTGGGGTCTGGATCAAGGAGTTCTGAAATGCACGTAAACCAGATTATTGTTGTACACGTGAGGTTAATGCTGCAGCCCTGCAATTACTTGCTCATGCAACTGCTGGTGAAAGAACCTCCATTAGAGGGAGGTCTAGAGTGCCGATCCGGTGGTTATGTTTTGGCCAACTTTTCCACACTGACCATTCGTCTTGAAAGAGGTGGGAGTACTCGCCATTTAGGCCATTGCACGCGACCCACCGATGGACTATGGGTGGACAAAACAGGGAATTGTAAGAATCCTGGTCAATGTTTTCAAGGCCAGGCTGGGAGATCGAACCGCGACATTTGAAGTCAATCGTGACAACGATCCCACAGTCATGTCAGCAGCCCTTTTGCAGAAATAAAATAAAATATTGGAGAGGGCTTCACACAAGAAACAAGATTTAGTGGTTTGGACGTGGCTCTCCAATGAGTACAGATAGGGTACCACAAGTAGCGGTGCATACTCGGGCGCAAGGAAATAGAAGCAGAGACAAAGAATGAGATAGATCGATGCAATAAAGAATTGGCAGTGGTGCACCAAGCACGACCCCTTGCTGAGCGGTGCAGCAGCAGCCCCCCCCCCACCCCCGGACCCCTCCCCCACCCTCCACTTCTCACCCTGACGCCACACAACCCGTGGGTAGGCGATGCCCTCTGGTGGACAAGGCGCGGTACAGGCGGCAGCACGAGACGCCAGCAGCGTTGCGCTGCCAGGGTTACTCACCCGAACACCTCCGTACACTTACACACACCTCTATACACCTCTATACACCTCTATACACCTCTATACACTTACAAAGATCCCCCGTATAGCCTTAACAGACTGTAGAGGCAAGTGCTGTTAGCGAGCACCTATGAAGGCCGGAACGGTACATGAGGGGGTGGGTAGCCAGCACCACGCCCGACCGCCTTTGTCTCCCCAGTGGCGATGTTTACACACCACACCAGGTACTCATTTCAGGCTGAGTCGACCTAGGGGAGGCCCAGGACCGGTTCAGATAATCGTCACTGGTGTTAGCCGTGAGCGGGAATCGAATCCGGGTCGCCAGGTTGATAGCGCAGCGCGCTAACCGCTACACTACTGCTCCCCACACACCTACACACACACACCTCTACACACTTACACACCTACACACACACACCTATACAACAACAACCGCCATTCGCCACTAAGTGGCGGTGACGTCACCACGACGCTTGTGCCAGGCCAAGTGCACCTTGAGGCCATGTGAAGTGTCGAACGCCCGCTGGCAGGAGGTCACGGGGCAGACCCAGCAGGTGCCACGGGTCGACTGACCGAGATGACCGAGATGACTGGCTGATGCACCACCTGTGGCCCCCTACCGTACCAACTTGCTGTGCTTTAGCCACCCGGCGCTCCGCTCGTTGTTGTGAGCGTCGCTCCTCAGCCCTCCGTTGTTGTTGGAGGGCGACTGCCTCCAACTGCCCAGTAGCGTCCTTCACGAGCCTCCTCCACTGAGGCCGATCTTGACACTGCTGGTACCAGTCATCGGCAAGTCCACTCAGCTCCACGTCCTCCTGTACCACATCACTCCATCTCTTCTCTAGCCCGCGCCGCGCCCGTTTAGCTCCCTCGATTTTAGGCATGCGGTAGCTGGGCATGCGTGCTACATGACCCAGCCAACGCAGCCTTGCCTGCCGGAGGAGCTCACCGATGGGACTTTGCCCAGATCTTTCAAGGATTTGTGAGCTCCTCACACAATCCAGCCTGGTTAAACCCAGGATGGATCGTAGGCAGGCCAGCCTAAATGTTTTCAACCGACGAAGTTGCTCCATTAGGGGGGTCCACGTTTCGCAAGCGTAGAGAAGGGAGGGAATGACCGTGGCCGAGAAGACCTGAAGCTTCGTGCGGAGGTAGCTTCCACACAGCGTTACGCAACCGATGAAAAGATAATGCCGCTCGACTGATTCGGAGTGAGACCTCTGCTGATAAACTGGAGCCGGTCATAAGCACACTGCCCAGGTATGGGAAACTCTCCACTCTCTCCACAACTGCCCCATCACCGATTGGGAGTTGTGGGGGTGGAGTGTCTGATGGTACAAAATACCCAGGCAGGTGCTTAGTTTTGGTGGGGCTGATGGTAAGACCCCACCTCTTAGTGGCACGCTCCAGTTTCAGCAGCAGCGTCTCCAACTCCTCTTCTGAATGAGCAGCTATTACCAAATCATCGGCATACATAACATGGTCGATCAGCCTCCCATTATATCTGTACCAAATGGAAATTCCCCCGGTACAGCTATTGAAGGCTTCACGAACTACGCAGTCGAAATAGATGTTAAATAATGTGGGAGCCTGAGGACATCCCTGTCGCACCACAAGGTGTACAGGGGAAGGCTCTGATTCCCGGCCACGTAGTTTTACCCGGGCCCCGCTCACCATCATGAAGGTCCTTAATGATCGTGAGCAGAGGGTCAGGGACTCCGAAAGCACGAAGAACAACCCAGAGCCCAGGCCTACTGATGGTATCATAGGCCTTGACCAGGTCAATAAAGCAGAGATGAAGGTCTTGTTAGGAATTCCTACACCTCTGCTGTAGCAAACAGACATAAATATGGCATCTGTACAGGACCGCCCTTTCCTGAAACCGCATTGGGGTTCTGCAAGCCTCTCCTCAGCGTGCCGAGCAAGGCGATGTTGAATAATCCTTGCCAGGACCTTTCCCGGCATACTGAGGAGTGAGATGCCCCTGTAGTTGTTACAGTCTGTGCGGTCCCCCTTCTTAAAGAGGGGGACCACCAGGGCATCCTTCCAATCCTGCGGTACCCGTCCAGCGGCCCAGACTGTTGTTATGATGTCATATAGGGCAGTCTGTGCACAAGCGCCACCCTCCCTCAGCATTTCGCTTGGGAGATCATCTTTGCCCGGTGCCTTTCCTGGTCTCAGACTCCGGATCGCCTTCAGTACTTCCTCAACAGATGGCACCTCAGCCAGCCACTCACAGGGGGTGACCTCCTCCAATATTTGAGGCACCGCAGCCTCAGCAGGGTTATCCCCACTTTGTGCCATGATGTTTTCCTGGCTGAGAGATTTTCCCTCCCCCAGGACCTCACACACACCTATATACACTTACACACACACCTCTATACACTTACACATACACACACACCTCTACACACCTACATACACACCTCTACACACTTACACACACCTACACACACACACTTCTATACACTCACACACACCTCTAGACACTTACACACACCTACACACACACCTCTATACACACACCTCTATACACTCACACACACCTACACACACCTCTATACACTCACACAAACCTACACACACCTCTATACACTCACACACACTGACACACACCTCTATACACTTACACACACCTACACACACACCTCTACACACCTACACACACCTATACACACACCTCTATATACTTACACACACCTACACACACACCTCTATACACTTACACCTACACACACCTCTAGTACACCTAAACACCTACACACACACCTCTATATACCTAAACACCTACACACACACCTCTATACACGTACACACACCTACACACACACCTCTATACACTTACACACACCTACACTACACACCCTCTATACACTTACACACACACCTCTACACTTAACACCACACACCTCTATACCCTTAACACCTACACACACACCTCTATACACGTACACACACATACACACACACCTCTATACACTTACACACACACCTCTATACACCTAAACACCTACACACACCTCTATACCCTTACTCACACCTACACGCAGGAGGAGGTGGTAGTGCGGGAACGAAAGGGCCTGGCTCGTGTGGCGAACGCGATCCGTGCGCTCCTCCACAGCATGATGCTGTTTTGTTGCGACCGGTCGACCGCACAGTTGGGGTGATGGAGGTGGTGCGGTGCTTACCATGACCGCTATCACCACATGCACCACACCATCTACCCACCCACCCCGTGATACACACCACACACACCACTCACACCACACACCCACTCACCACACAACCACACACACCAGACACACCGCACACACGCACACACCGCACACACCGCACACACACACACCACTCACACCACTCATACCACTCACACTACACACACCACACCACCACACACACCACCACACACCCACACACCACACGGTTCCCCGGAAAGACGGTGCCACTGGGACCGCAGCCGGGGAAGGAAACTGAGCAGCAGATGCCAGGACTGGACTGGACAATGACTGCTGCCAACAGACTAACTCTGTTCAGAGATAGGATCAATCCAATGTATTATGTAATACTTATCATTGTTGTTTTTATTATTAACGTCATGACATGAACTTATGAGGAAACAATGTAACTTTGCATTGCTTGTGAGTGCTGCCTGGGTTTGTTAAATGTGCCTTGGCTCGTGTGCAGTGGTCCCGGCTGTGTGTGCGGCGGTACAATGACAACTATGTCATGAGAGAAGTTTCAGGCAATGGCCCTTCTTCAGAACGTGTACAGGCAGTGGTGGGAAAAGATAATCAGGCGATTCGTCTGACACATCCGCCCCCTAACTGCCCCTCTGCCAAGCTGCTCCGCTGTCCTGCTGCCCCAATGCCCTCTGCCCCACTGCCCCTCTGCCCCACTGCCTCAATGCCCCTATGCTCCGCTGCTCCACTGCGCTGTTGCTACTCTGCCCTAATGCCCCGCTGTTCCATTGCCCCACTTTCCCACTGCCATCACATCCATCACGAAGCAGCGAGACGTCCACACCACCTCATTAAATATTACCCTGATGTACACGCAGAGAGAGAGAGAGACCCTCGTTAAACATTAATACTGGATGGGGCTGCTGTGATGCAATGGCTCGTAAAATTCACTGGCATAGAGAGATTGCTGGTTCCACCTTCTGGCACAGCAGTTGAAACAAATGGTCGAGTACTAATAGGGGTTTTCCCCATTTTTTTTCTGGCAACAAAACTGACACCTTTTGCAAGGCATCATGTTACATTAACCACAATACTTGCAGTCAAATGTTGCCAGAAAAAAGGGGAAAATCCCTATTAGTATATTTTGGTACTGGCAAAGGAAGGTCCCAAAATGGTCGAGTATCTTAAGTTCCCCTGCCTCTGTCCGCCAAACAGTACAACTGGGTACACCAAATCGAGTGGCCAGTTGGGTGGGTAGGTGCTGGATGATGAGTGCACATCGTTGTGTGGGTAATTGATGAGTTGGTACCTGGGTAAGTGGATGGTAGGTGGTTGAATGGGTGGATGGTAATTGAATGAGTGGGTCGGTGTGTGAATGAGTGGGTGGCTGGGGGTGTGGGAGGTGGATGGATGAGTGGGTAATTCAGTGTGTAGATTGGTGGATGTGTGAATGTTAATGAGTAAGTTGGTGGTTGGTGAATGATTAGTGGGTGGATGAGTGCGTGGGCGGTGTCAGTGAGTTAGTTTTAAATGAATGAGTGGTTGAATGGGTAATTAAATGAATGGGGAGGTGGATACATGATTTGGTGCTTGGGTGGGTCAGTGGGGAATTGAGCGAGCGGGGAATGAGAACGTGGGTGAGTGGATTTTTGAATGAGTGAGTGGGTGCGTTCGTGAGTCTGTGTGTGAGGGGATAATTGAGTGGTTTGGATGAGTGAATGGGTAAATTAGTGGATATTTGAGTGAGTGGTTGGATGGGTGAGTGGGTAAATGAGTGGGTGAATGAGTGGTGGGTGAATGGGGAGGTGATTGGGTGGGTGGGTGAGTGGGTGCGTGCGTGGGTGGGTGAGTTAGTAGGTGGGTAAGTTAGTAGGTGGGTGAATGGATGGGTGAGTGGGTGGGTGAGCGAGTGAATGAGTCGGTGAATCATTGAATTAGTGGGTGAGTAGGTGACCGAGTGAGTACTTGAGTGGGTGAGTGGGTGGGTGAGTAGTTGAGTGGGTAATTGAATTAGTGGGTGAATACGTACGTGGGTAATTTGGTATTTGAATGATTGAGTGATTGGGTGAGTGGGTGGGTGGGTGAGGAGGTGCGTGCGTGAGAGTGGGTGGGTGGGTAAATTAGTGGATGAATGAGTGGGTGGGTGGGGTGGGGAGAGTGAGGTGGGAGAGTGAGTGGGAGAGTGAGTGAGTGAGTGGTGAGTGGGTGGGAGGGTGGTGGGTGGGTGAGTGGGTGGGTGTGTGGTAGGTGGATAAATGAGTGGGTAATTCAGTGTGTAGATTGGTGGATGTGTGAATGTGTTAATGAGTAAGTGGGTGGTTAAGTTGGTAAATGCTTAGGTGGGTTGATG